GTAAAGGGGAAGAGGGATGAGCTATACAAACTCCCAGGGGCAGGTGTGGACAGATTTGGTGGCATGGGAGTAGGTGCTGACAGATTTTATCTGCAGCTTTCAAAGAAGAAAGTAGATCTCTTCTCCCTCCCCTGGTCTCTTCCTTAACTCTCCCCTCCTGGGGTGGGGGCCTCCAGTCAAAAGAGAAGGGGGAGAGGGGTGGGGCCTAGGTTCTACCTGGCAGAGAGGGGCTTCCCCTCCTTAGCCTTCCAGGAGATCAAGGGAAGGGAGGAGCAGCAATCTATCAGTAAAAGGACCAGGACAATGGGAGAGGGTGGATGAATGCCTATTTGGGTATTTCTTTCCCCCTTAAATCTGAAGGGAAGATAAAGGTAACTTCTCAATAATAACTCTTTCCCTCACCCAAAGAGTTAGCCCAACTATAGATGCCCTAGGCCCCTTATTCCCATTCACTTTAGCTCTGGTCAATTAACAGATCAAATGAGAATCTCCCTTATCTCTTTCATCCTCTCACTATGAACTTGGAACCCTTTCATTAATCCTCAAGTCAAGTTTGGAGTGAATAATAAGGATAAAAATAATAATCTCAGGGTAAAGAGCTGGCCCAGTGATTTAGCTGATATGAGAACTCCCAGGTGAGGAAGCTTCCTCCACTAATGCAGGGCTGCACTTCTCTGCAACTGAGTTTCCTAGAGCACTGTGAGGTTAAGTTGCTTGCCCATCTCATAGATACCAGAGGCACACTTGAACTCAGGTCTTTCTAGAGTCGAGGCCAGTCTCTATCTACCTCCCAGACACAGTTAATATTTACATAGCATCATTAAGATATGCAAAGCTTTTTGCATAGATAATCTCATTTAATTCTCACAACAATTCTAAAGGAAGGTGCTAAATATATTATCTCCATTAAATGGATGAGACCCTATCAGATAGAACTGGAGGCATTATTACTTCATTTTACATAAAATTAAACTGAGCCACAGAGAGATTAAAAGACTAGCACTAGCAAGTGTAAGAGGTAGGATTTAAACCCAGGTGTCCCCTGACCACAAGTCCAATCTTTTCCCCACTAAACCATAGGGCCTCTCTAGAGTGTGAGAGAAGGAAGATGAGTACTTGATGCTTTTTCCTCTCCCCCAACTCATACAAAAACTGGACAGAGGCCAAATACACAATTCACGGATACCGACCCCCCTACCCAATACTCAAATACCAAGGAGCCAGAGCAGACCTCAAAAAACACAGCCAAAAACCCATTTGGTTGAGGTCTTGTCACCTAACTTTCCTCTCTTTCTGGCCTCAGTTGCCTGCTTTGTTAAATGACAAGGCTGGACCCAGTAATCACTAAAAATCCTTGAGTCTCTGGCTTACAGCCCTGGTTCCTCTGCCCAGAGCCCATCCCTTGCCTCTTCACTGGGGCCTTGATTTGGAAAGGACACCTGCCTGAGCCCTCTGGAAGAAGCCAGACAGAAGATGGAAGGACACTCCTTCCCCCCTCCCCCCCCCCACTACTTCCCCCCAACTCTTCCTTAGGGAAGATCAGCCACATTCAGGCTTTGTTCATACCTGACCACTTCCTCTATCGGCTGTCCTCAACTCAATTCCGCCCCTATCCCTTCCCACCAAGAAAGAGGGAGAGTAAGGAAAACAAACAGATCTGTCTATTTTCTGGAGTTCACCCCACTCCAGGGTAGACTCTTGTCTAAAGAGGTTACACTGAGGGCCACTCTGCTCTTGGGAAAGAGGGGTTCTCATCTTATTCTTCAAAATCCCTGTACCAGCAAGTGGCCAGAGGCTCACGGGGAGGAAAGGTTGGCTTTATAGCTCCCCTAAGAAGTACAGGTTCTCCCAAGGCCACCAGACAGCATCTGCCTGGCTTGGGAAGGCTGCCTCCTAAGGATGCATGAATCTTTTATCAGCCACGCTTGGATGCATCCAGCTAGAGAACTTCCATCACAAGGCAGGGGTGTAGGGGGGTAGGGGTGTAGGGGGTGTGTGTGTGTGTGTGTGTGTGTGTGTGTTGGGTCTGGGGGGGAGGAGCTGGGAAAGGTAGGCCCCTGCAAACAAGAGTCACACACCCCTCACCCAGGGACCCTCACTCTAGTCATAGGGAGAATCTCCCTTCACAGCTCCCCAGCAAAATACCACCAAGTCTTTCCCCCATTGCTATATGTAACAGACACACACAGCTGGGTGGTTTGGGGAACGGGGAAAGGAGGGAGGTTGAAAATGGTCATGGTGTTACTGTTTACTGCAGGGGTTGGGGAGACTCCTGGGGAAAAAACAAAACTGGTGGGGGGTGGGGTAGAGAAACAGGAAAGGGTATTGCCCAAGTATGGGTGAGGGGACCCTACCAGGAAATTACAAATCCACACCTCTTTCTTCCCACTCATCTCCCTCCCCTGCACCCAGAGGAAATGGTTCCCAGGGTGGGGAGTAGATCGGGGATCCCGGAAGCCACCCCCTAGTGCACATCATGAAAGAGGAACCAGCTTGCAACATTCCTGGGTAAGGGGGAAACCTCTTCCCAGGCTGGCATGGGAGTGGTCATGGGGTAAGGGAGGCAAAGGCTAGGCAGAATGTCCTTCTCTAGTGGCAACTGAAGACCCCCATTCCCCCATTATGCAGCATCCAAGGGTTTGAGCCACTACTTTTCTGCCCATCCCATTCTAGAAAAAAGTGTCCCCCCAGACACTTGGGCACAGGTCCCACTGTCCAATGGAAGTGCCAACCTGGCAGGAAGGGGAAGCCTTAGAATTTCAGCTCCTAGAATGGGGGCAGTGCCAACTCAGTCCAGCTTCCCCCTCCCAGCCCCACCTCCAAAGGCGTCAACTATTCAGGACAGACACCAGATACCCAGATAAAGCATAAGGACTGCAGGGGTGGGTGAGATGTAAAATAAAAGACCCCTCTCCCCAATCAGCTTGAGGCAAGCCCTTTAAGTTTCAATACAGAGCAAAGTATACAGAGTGAAAAAGACAGGTGACAATGAGAATGGAGAGGGACTGAAGCCAGGTGATAAAGGGAGACTTGGGAGGGGGGGCAGATATCCAGAGTGGCATTCAGGCAGCTTCCTGAGCAGGGCTAGGGCTATCCCTCTGGATACTCAGAAGTATTCCCTCATCCAAGCTGGAAACATGGAGAGTGAAGTTGGGAGAGGAGTACCAGAAAACGGCAGACACATTTGTCCATTTCAATTTGATTTATTCAACAACAAGCATTTATTAAATGCCTACTATGTACAAGGTACTTCAAAGTCCCCTGGCTGTGGGGGGGAAGCCAGGAAGGAGGATGAGACAGAGACAGAGACAGAGGAGGAGCTCTAGGGAAGGTCAGATGCTGTGGGCAGCTGGCCAGAGCGAGTAGGGTGGCATCATTCCAGGGTCAACTCCAGGGACAATGAGACTCCCCTGACCCTAGGGAGGAGGGTACTTCCCTGACCCAGAGAAAAGAACATTGACCCAGGGCAGGGAGCAGAGGGCAGTGTTGCCAGGTGCCCCACTGGTGCCAACAGGAGAGGCAGTGGGTGTCTGGGGCAGTGTTCATCCTGGGCAGGCCAGGGAAAAGCCATGTGGGATGGAGGGAGGAGGGAGAACAGGACATTTCCCAGGTCAACAGCTGCCCTGTCCATCCATCTCCCAGCCTCTTTTCCCTCTTCTCCCCGCCCGGCCAGGCCCCAGATCCCTCCCCCTCCTGACTTGGCGTTGTGCCCAGCTCGGCCCTAGGGGCCAGAGTTACAGTAAGAGGCCTGGCAGGCCTCTGGTCTGAGCTATGCCAGCTGGCAGCCACTACTGCCACCTCCCACTACCTGGCTTCAGACAGGCCAGGGGTGGAAGAGACCCCCACCCAGCCAGTGCAAGACTCTCATGGGAAAGATAGAGAGGAAGGGGAAAATGGGGGGAAAAAAATCAGAGACACAGCAAAAGGGAAGAGGGAGGGGCCTATGTCTTTTCCTTGCAGCCCAGCCCCCGTCCATGACCAAAGCAGAGCGTTCCTCCCTGCCCCCCAGAGCTCTTTCCCCCACTGCTGCCTAGTTCACCCCAATTCTCATCAGGTTTACACTACTGCCTCCCTCCCTTCACACTCCACTCAAATAGGGGAATTAGCAGCGAGGTATGTATGTAATGGAAGGAGGGGGCAGTTGGCCTTCCTCCTCCACGCTTCAGGCACCCTCACAGAAAGACACCTGGTACAGGGGACCCTGAGGATAAGGATAAGGGAGGAGGGCATGTGGCTGCCTCTCCAGGTCATGATGCTGTTCCCGCCAAATGTCGAGAGGTTTGTTTATCTACCAGGGGCCTTTGTCTGCTGCCAACCAAGCTATTTATAAGATCCTCAGTGATGAGGCGAAGGGGGGTAAAGTCGGGGCCGAGAATGCAACACAAATGGCCCGAACCTTTCTGCAGCCCTCCAGTCCAGCACACACTCAGGCAGAGTCCAGCAACCCACAGCATAATAAGGATCCCTATCTAACGCCTAAGATATGACCCCTGGAAGCTTCAAAGGGGCAGCAAAGTAGCATTCCCCACAAAATGGACAATAATAATAAATAGTATTTATACAGTACTTTAAGGTTTGCAAAGCACTTTATATATCTTATCTCACTGGAATCTCACAACAACCCCATGAGGTAGGTGCTATTATTATCCCATTTTGTAGATGAGGAAACTGAGGCTGAGGGAGGTTAAATGACTTCCCTAAGGTCACACAGCTAGTGAGTGTCTAAGGCAGGATTTCAACTTGAGTTTTCCTGATGCCAAATCCAGAGCACTACTCGGTGTACCCCTTAGCTCCCTCAATAGCTGAGTCCATTATTAACCAGTCTTTCCTTGCCACCCTCCCCATTGACTAACACCCCGCCCTTTCCAATGTTTGTACACAATGAAGGCACCACAAACCATCCCTTCACGGAGCCCTCATGAGAAGCCACCGGGTTCCCCTGTGATATCTGTGCCCTCAATCCTGCCCCCGCCCAACTCCCGCTCTGTCCCACAACTTACTGGCTGGTGATGGAGTGCTATATCCACTGACAGGAAGCTGGTGCTGGATACTTGTCAGAGTGCCAGGTGGAGAAAGTCCGCCCAGCATGGGAGGGAAGAAGAAGGCATAGTGAGGCACCGGGTACCCGTTAAGGTGCCCACCCCCAGGCGTTGGGCATGAGCTGCTATTGCTGGCCATGCCCCGAAGAGAGTCAGAGATATAGACAGAGAGTCCAGCTGGGAGGGTTTGAGGGGCTTCTGGCTGCCCCTTCTCAGCTCATTGGGGCCTGGAGTTGGGAGGGGTTGTGGGTAATCAACCCACCCCCTCTTCCTGTCCTGCAGCTGAAGAGGGCAGTGCCCAACAGGGTGATCTTGGCCTTCTGAAGCCACCGCCCAAACCAGGGGCAAGGTGGGAAAGGGAAGGGAGGGCGCTGCTCAGGTCGGCGGTGGCTAGGATAAGCTGGAATGAGGCTTGAAAAGCTGAATGGCACCCACCACGGCTGGCTGCTGGGCACAATACCCTCACCTAGATGAGCTCTGATGATGCTGGTGCTGCTGAGGAAGCCATGTCTTCTGATGCTGAAAAGGAGAAGACAAAACAGGTGAGTAGGCACAGAGAACAGGGCACAGGGGTTTTCTCCATGGGGCTCCCCCCACCTGGGCAGCTGGAGGTTTTCCTGTGACACTAGGCTAAGCAGACAGATGGCACAGTGCCTGCCTGGCACAGACAACTCGGGAGTGGGGCCCAGATACTGCAGACGAGGAGGTGGGGGTGAGAATATTCCCACAAAGAGCAGAACCCAAACCTTCAGGAGACACCTCTCATCCTAATGTGGCCAAAGGGCCTGTTGTGCCTCGAAGGGGGGAGGTTCATGGAGATCAAGAGGAGACCTGGGAAAACACAGCTGGACCCAGAGATCTCTCCAAAGAAGGGTTACCTGAGGTCACAGATGCAGAGAAAGCGTGGAGATGGTGGAGGTAAGCGAGGGAGGGGAAGGGGGAGAGAAGCTGCTTCCCTAAAGCATGGTACTTCTCAGAATCATGACGCAGCAGCCCTAGGGGCCTCTTACACCACTTCCCCCACCCCAGCCCCCGAAATCCAGGGACCTAACACCCTGGATGTTTATGTCCTAGAGGCCCTGCGGTGGGAGTGGGGATGTTCAGCCTGGAGAACAGGAAGATTCAGGTGGGCCACAGAGCCATCTTCAAGTATTTGAAGAGTAGCATGGGAAATGGGAGCAGAGGGTATTGTTGCTAGGTGCCCCACTGGTGCCAACAGGAAAAACAGTGGGTGTCTGGGGCAGTGTTCATCCCAGGCAGGCCAGGGAAAAGCCATGTGGGATGGAGGGAGAAGCAGTGGATGGAAACTGTCAAAAAGCCAGTATAGGCTTGATGAAAAAAACCATGCTAACAATTGGAGATGCCCAGAAGAAGAATGGGCCACCTAGAGAATGGCAACTATCTCCTCACTGGAAGTCCTTGAGCAGAGACTGGTTGAGGAGAACCCAGAGATTTGCTGGTATATTCTAGAAAGGATTCATTTTAAGTGGGGGACAAGCTAAAGGGCCACTGAGGTCCCTTCCAATTGTAAAATTCTATGATTCTGGGGTCATTTTCATCTCCCAAACTTAAAGTAGGTACAATAGAAGCAGAGGATTTCTGTGTTTTTAGCTTCACTCCTTCATTTTACAGATGAGGAAACTGAGGTCCGGGGCTGGCAAATAACTTGTCCACAGTTACACAGCTTGTAAATGACAAAGCCAGAACTTGTACTCAGGTGTTCTGATTATAAGTCCAGTCTTTACCCTTCCTCACACATTAAGAAAGGTCACTGGGGGGGAGGGCAGCGAGGTGGCTCAGTGGATAGAGCCTCGGCCCTGAAGTCAGGAGGACCTGAGTTCAAAGCCAGCCTCAGATGCATAACACTCACTAGCTGTGTGACTCTGGGCAAGTCACTTAACCCCAACCACCTCACCAAAAATTTAAAAAAAAAAAAGGTCACTGGGGCAGCTAGCTGCAGTAGATAGACCACCAGTCCTGGAGTCAGGAGGACCTGAGTTCAAATTCAACCTCAGACACTTAACTAGCTGTGTGACCCTGGGCAAGTCACTTAACCCTAACTGCCTCCCCATCCAAAAAAAAAAAAATTATTGGTAAGGCTAGCAATTACCATTAAAAGGGATCTTTCAGTTCCTCAGTAAGCCAGAAAGACCCTGGAGACTGGGAAAGAGAGGAGGAGGGAAATGTAGGCTTCTGTCCCCTCAACCTAGGGATAGAATTTGCTTCCCTATCCTCTTAATTACCATGATTATTAATTTTGACCATAGAAACACACTTCCAGGTCTCTGATGAAGTCCTCCCAGGCCAGTAAAGGAGGGTGACATCAGAGGCCCAGGGAGCCCCACCCAGCTAGCAGCCAATCTGCCACACCCAGGACCTCTATGGAACTTCTCCAGATGGGTAAACTTCACCAGTGACAGGAGACAGTGACCTAGAACCTCAGGCAGACAGACAGTCATGGGTTTGGGTAGGAAAAATGAAATCATATTCCTATACTCTCAGCCCCAATCACTTTTTTGTGTTCTTTTACTTCACTGTTTTCAGGGATTTTAGTTGTGGGTATTCAGTTAGAAGAAGGCTGGGGATCTGTATGATGTTTCAAGAATAAAATTTATCTGTGTGTGTGTGTGTGTGTGTGTGTGTGTCTGTGTGTGTAGCCAGGGAATAACCATCACTATGCCACACAATGAACACAATTAATTACTTTTGTCTATATACCCAGACATACTGGGTGTAGTCGAGTCCCAGTTCTCCACCACCAGCCTGGCCCTTCCAACTGCCTCTTCTGCCAAGAGAGGCCCTAAAAGCAGGACCCCCCCTTAAGCCTAGCCATCCCACCACACTCACTGATGATCAGACAAACATAGGCAGTCATGCCCACCCTCCCCAAGGTACGGAAAATGGTCAGTCTCACAAGGTCTGAGCTCAGCCTCCACAGATAAGCTCAGGGTGAGACAGCTAAGGGAGTGGCTCTCTGACAAAGGGGAACCCTAGTCCACCCAGTCTTATCCAACTTAGCTTATTTTGAGCTTATCACTTGCTGGCTGATCACTTGCCTGCCCACAAGCCCCTCTCCATCCTAGGCCCCCCACATCTCCAGTAAGCTGCAGTAAGACACAGGACACTCCATCGGCTGTGTACTTCACGTATCCGGCCAGATAGAGAGATCTCAGCTCTAACGGTACCCTTTGAGCCAACCTGGACTCTGCTCTCAGAGATCCCACAACCAATCCCCTCAGGGGGAGAGACCCTGAGCCACCTTAAACTTCACCACTAAGCATTGCCCAGGTGTTAGAGGCATCCCCCTTACTCTCACCTAGAAGGAATAGAGACTGTGTCCAGCCCACAGTTCCTCCTTCCCTCCAACCCAACCATCTCCATGTCAGTCTCCAACACAACTCGGCCTCTGCTATAAAGTTTGGAGCAAAGTTACTTAGAGTTCTCAAGGAAGGGACTTCCAGCCAAGGGGAGGAGGAAGCAACAGAGGCAGGGGTAAAGGTCACAGAGATGTTGCCAAAGGCCTAGGCAATGCCAACTCTAAAGGGCTGGGCAGAGGGGTGGAGATGGAGGTAGGAGGGATTGAGGAGGCATGGACACACAGAGTCCCTGAGAGCCCAGGAGCTCCTATTTACTCCTCAGGAAAAGGTCTTCTCCTCCAAAGGAAAGGCAAGGGTGTGTGTGTGTGTGTGTGTGTGTGTGTGTGTGTTTGCATTTGCCTACTTGCTCCTACAGCTCCACCCCACCTCATCCTAGAAGCATGGCATCACCTCTTTTTCCTGGGGTAAGAGGGGCATCTTCAGAGAATCAAGGCCCAACACAGGAAGAGAAGGGAAACAAGACACCCACATCCAACCCACTCCGACACCTCATAGGCTGCCCACAGGGTACCTTCCCCCTCCATGTGGGCAGCAGGGGCGGGAAAACCACAAGCCCACAGTGCCAGGATATCCTGAACCCTTCTTGTGCCCCACCTGGCAGTGGCAAATAAGAGGGAGGAGACACAGGGGACAACGTCAAGGGGATTTCAGAGAAGGTGGCAGGCACAGGAATAGTTTGCTATGTCATCTACCCTGTAGAATCTACTCCTGGACCTCCTCTCCCTTTGACTTCCTTCTCATGCTTTAGCCCCGTACTACCATACAACAGGTCCTTCACAGGATTTATATCTCCTCTATGGCAGAGAGGATTGAACTGATTTGAGCTGTACCCTCCTTGTTTCCATTAAAAAACTCAGCTGCCTGGGGCTCCTCTCTAGCACACCTTCCCATGACCCCCACCACTAGGCTTATACTTGGTTTATGAGAGTAATACAAGGACTTTGTACCACAGGCAGCTTCCCCCTCTCCCCTTGCTTCCCCAACATGGGAAGAGGGATGATAATAATAGTAATAATGGCGATGATAAGTGATATAAATGTCAAAAACTTACATAATTACTTCTAGAATAAGCCACCATCACTTTATCAAGAAATAGTGATAGCTGACAACAGGTACCTGCCATGGAATTCATCAAAAGTAACCAAAAGTGGTTTACTTTTGGAAAGAACCAATGAAATGACTAAGATACAAGAGTAGTATCAAAAAGTCCTCCCTGGGTAACATCTGCATGAACTGAGCATATCAAAAACATCCTACTGCAGAAGACTCAAACAAATTTGAGTCATGTGGATTTGTCTGTGGAAATAGAGGGGTTTATGAGAGTAATTGAGGACCAAATCTTACCACCAGAAACTACAGGAGGGGTTATATTACATACTTTTGGTTACAGCCATACTACCCTGAACACACCTGATTTCATAAGATCTCAGAAGCTAAACAGGACCAGGCCTGGTTAGTACTTGAGAAGGAGAACACCTGAGAATGCTGGGTGCTAAATCCATTCTCTTCCTAACCCATCTTCCACCCAACTGTCAAACTGATCTTCTTAAAGTACAGGTCTGATCATGTTTATGTCATCCCCTGCCCCAATTCAATAAATCCCAGTAGTTCCCTATAACCTCCAGGATCAAATATAAAATCATCTGTTGGGCTTTTAAAGTCTTCCATAACCTGGTCCCTTCCCACCTCTCCAGTCTCCTTATACCTTAACCTCCTCCACATACTCCCATGATACAGTGATACTGACTTCTTGCTTGTTCTTCCCACACAACGCTCCAAACTGGGCATTCTCACTGACTGTCCTCCATGCCTAGAACTCTTTCCCTCTTTATTGGCTTCCTTTAAGTCTCAGTTAAAGTCCCACCTTCTGCCAGAAGCCTTTTCCAGGCCTCTGTAATCTTAGTGTCTTCCTGCTGAGATTATCCTTAATTTACCCGGATGTGTGTATGTGTGCATGTGTGTGTATATTTGCTTGTGTGCGATCTCCCCCACTAGACTGGGAGCTCCTTGACAGCAGGGACTATTTTTTTGCCTTTGTATTCACAGTGCTTAGCACAGTGCCTGCTTAGTAAATTCTAGCTGACTGACTTAAGAAGCCCAAATTTCATGATCAATTTAGACTATTCATAGAAAATAGTGGACACTATACAACATGTTGCTGCAGGCTGTTAAAACAAAGTTTAACATCTACCAAATACCTAGCAAGATGTAGCCTGAATTAAGTATCAGAAGCTCTGGATCTTTCATGTTTTGACAAAACAACAAATCCCCAAACTACAAATATAAACTCGAAAATATTCTGGAACACTTAACCAATAAACTGTATCAGAACTAGACCGTTGTCACAGACTAAAACGTCACCCCTCATCTCCCAGACGTAACACTGATTAATCAAAAACTTAAAAACAATATTTTTAATAGATATCACCATTCCAAAAACTCGTCTCCAAGCTGCATGGGATGAAAAGCATTCAAAGTATGGAGATATGCCAGAAGAGGTCAAAGGTTACGTGGGAGCAA